GCCAGTGTCAAAGACAAAGAAAAGCAAGGGTCTGCTTCATTGCTGTCTCTGAAGAGAAGGGACTCTTGGGGACCCATGAAGAACTGGCTTCTCAGTCAATTCTACTTTCATCTTTAAAGAGACAAATAAGGCTTAAGGATGAGGTCACAGAAATTAAGAAGTAATAAGGGACAAGTGACAGAAATTCTCTCGCTTGAACTGTGCTCTTCTGTTTTGGAGCCAAAGCTTAATCAGCTGGGAGTTCCTCAAAAGATAAAACATGGAGTTGCCATATGACATAGCAGTTCTACTCTTAGAGAAATGACAATGTATGTCCACACAAAACTTATACATGAAAAAGTTCATGTATGTATGAACTTAGCATGAATGTTTATAATACCATTATTCATTACAGCTGAAAGAAGGGTCTACATACTCATTTGGGGATGGATGGATAAAATGTGGGAAAGCCACACAATTGTTATCTGACAATGAAAAGGAAATGAAATGTTGATACATGTTTCAATGTGGGTGAGGCCTGAAAACCCAGTCAGTCACAAGGACCACACACTGTATGACTGCATTTCTATGAAATGTCTACAACAGGCAGATTCACAGAAGCAGATCATAGCTTTCTTTGCGACTGACTGGAGCTTAGGGAATGGCCAATAAAGGACACAGGTTTTTGGGGTAATGAAAATGTTCTGAAAGTGTAGAGTGATCACAGTTGCCCAACGCCACATAGAAGGTGACTGTAAACAGTGTGTTCAGTGTAAATTGCCATTCAATTGTAGACTTTAAGTGGGTGAATTGCATGGTACTTGAACTGTATCTTAATAAAGGTGTTATTTAAAACTAGAATCAGAAACTTAAGCAGGCCACAGAAGGCAGAGAAATCCTGGTACCCCTGCATTTCCCTCATGGGAGATACAACAGCTCTGTTGTAATATTGTAATACCTGGGGCTTTGTGGAGGTAACTCTGACCCCTTGCTTTACCCTAGCTAGCTCTGGTCTCCCATTTCATCTCCACTCATTCCACTGACTTTTGCTGAGTGCCCACTGTAAGTCAGGAGCTAAGACAGGTACCTAGAGATAAAAGCAGGTGGTGGTCATGTAGTCACTCATGCAACCAAGGGCAGAAAACAGCGGGAAGAGCCCTCAGAACAGCGGGTTCTGTTGGGTGTTAAATGCAGAAAAGAATTTCTTCTGTCTGGGAGGACTCTCCTCCATGCTGGAACAGCACACACAGAACTAATATGCAGATCTCAAAGGCAGCAGGGTGGGGCAGAATGAGCATAGGGAGGGCCTAGGAGTCACCCACAGGAAGCTGCAAGACACACAATGCCCGGTCAAGGAGCAGTGCCAGTGTTACCCTAACAATCTGTCTGGCAGTGCCATGGGTGATCCGTTTTGTTTATTTGTCTTAAAGGAAGACTGGATGGGGGAGGCAGGATTTAACAGAAGTTATTACTCAGCATTTCCTTTGGGTTAAATGTTTGCAAAGCAGTCCTGCCCTAGGTCCTGAAGTGCCTGAAATAATTCAGGAATTTAAGACTTTAGCCAAGAACTCTAAGTACTTAGCAGACACAAGAACCAGCCCCTGCGCACCTGGCAAGGAGGGCACTATTTAAACATTAATCCCATAAAATAAATGTTATTGAAAAACTATAATCCAATATAATAACGTGCCTGTGAAGGTGACATGCCCTGTGTGGTTACTGAACTCAGTAAAGTCATGAGGTGCCTTCTGGTGTCAGTCTCCCCATTCACACCCTGGCACGTGTCCACTTTTCTCTGGTAGGAATGGGTTTTGAACTCAAGGCTTTGTGCTTCAAAGAAGGCGCTCTCCCATTCAAGCCACACCTCCAGTCCCAGTGTCAACTTTTAAAGAACAGCTCCTGAGGTCCTTCTGAGATGAAAGCATTCTACAGATGACACAGAGAGAGTGTGTGGCAGCAATCAGCATGAAAACTGGCTTCCTATTGGCAGGACCACCAGCACCTGACCATCACACCGAAGATGAGATGGTGATGACGTTAGTCCACTGTTCCAGCACTTCCTGCAAGTGGACTGTACTGTGGGATGTTTTGGACTCAAAGCCATATTTGAGATGGATGTGTTTGGTGTCTGTCTGTGTTTGTATTTTGTGTGGTTTGAGCATCTCTCGTCCAAAAAAATCCAAGATCTGAAATGCTCCAAAACTTGAAAGTTCAAGAGCGTGGATATGATTACACAGTGGAAAATTACACTCTACAAAAAAAAATTATGTGAAGTGCTGGATAAAATTACCTTCAGGTCATATATAAGACATAAATGAAAAATAGATGAATTTCTGTTGAAACATCCAAGTATTCCAAAATCCAAAACCCAAACACCTCTGATCTCAAGCATTTCAGATAAAGGATACTCAACCTGCATATTGATCTAGCTTCAGCCACTACCTTAGCTTGGTCTGTAGAAGTGCTCTCCTTAGGAATGTTCCCTGGCCAGCTGTAAAACCACTTGCTTAAGTATAAATAGTGAACACACTTAAAATTACTATCAACATGCACCCTATGAGGACAAAGTGCTTCAAATAACTATTATAAAAACTATGCAAGGGTCAAGAAGAAGAAGCCAGGCACAGTGGCTCATGCCTGTAATCTTAGCTACTCAGGAGACAAAGATTAGGAAGATTGAGGTTGGAGGACAACCTGGAAAATTTTTTCAAGAACCCATCTCAACCATTCTTCCTTGACATATTCCATAGGACAATTAGGAAAGTGACAAAACACATATGTGAGGGAGGGACGGAGGGAGGAAGGAGAAGGCAGGGGAGAATGCTAACATGGGAGTGAAGAATTAGCAAGTCAAAAAGACCAGTCCAGGATCTGTGGTAGATTTCTTCCGGGGCATCTGTTGATCTAAGAAGAGATTTCTAGCTGAGTGTGGTGGCATCTGCCTGCTATCCCAGTGCTTGAGAGGGGTGAAGGCAGGAGAACTATGAGTTCAAGGTCAGCCTGGACTACACAGTGAGACCCTGTCTATCTAAAAAGAAAAGAGAAAACATTCTGAGAGGTCTGGTGCAGTGTTCTAACATCCTACGGAGTCAGAAGGATAAAAGTCAGACACCAGGAACTGCAAATGACTATATAAACTAAGACATAAAGCATTAATACAAATGAAGACAATGTAAAAGTTCAATAAGCAGAAATTAGAAGTTGGAAATTTAGCACAACTATTCTAAAACAGCAGGTGTCTAAAAACAAGTCTGAAATACATAAAGGAAACATCTGTTGTCACCAGAGTGACAAACCACCATCATAGTAGAAGACTTAACACCATAGGTGTCAGAAAAAGCAGAAAAAAAGCTAGTATAAACAAATTTGAAAAGGTGACTAAGAAATTTGAATCTGCCAGGCACAGTGACTCACATCTGCAATCCCAGTTACTCAGGAGGATTACAATTGGAAGCCAGCCTGGGCAAAAAGTTCACAAGACCCCATCTCAACAAACAAGCCAGGTGTGGTTGTTCACACATGTGGTTCCAGATGCATGGGAGGCATAAATAGGAGGACTGCAGTGTGAATCCATCCCAGGCAAAAACATAAGGCCCTATCCCAAAAATAACTAAAAGAAATAAGGACTGGGATATGGCTCAAGTGGTAGAGCGCCTGCTTAGCAAGCACAAGGCCCTGAATTCAAGCTCCATTACTGCAAAAAGAAAGAAAGGAAAGAGAGAAATTTGAATCAAAATGTCATATGTTGAATGAGCTTTCTTTCCAAGTCTGCATGAAAGATGGTATGGGCTATATAGTACATTAATCTGCTCCCCGATAGAGAGGTAGGACGTAGTAGGGTTTGAGGGACTGTGGTTTCCATAGCAAAGAGTCCCAAAAGAATAAGTCAATTGTCACAGGTGTCTTGGTGAGTTAGCACTACGTTCACCCAGGCCTGGGACAGCAAGGGTGACAGTGAAAGTGGGGGGCGGGGATGGGAAGTGTCCACACAGCCGTCTCTGTTCTCTCCCTACTCTTGGGAGCTACAGGATTAGAGCTGTGCGAAGGGAAAAGGGTAAGGCCAAACGCTGGCCCTCTGCCGAAAATGAAAGGGAAGCTGCCATAAGAGGCCTTTGTGCAATCAGGTGATGATTTGGGTTTTTCACAGCCAGACCCCACTTCCTTCCATCCTGGCTTCCCACTTCCTCCCCTCCCACACCATTGGGTCCCAGCCTCAGAAGTGACTTGGGATGCTGGATGACACCTCTGCCATTCCATTGCCACAAGCTTTTACAATGGGGAGCCAGACCCTGCAAATGCGGAGCGTTTATTCTAACCAGCTTCACCCTACAAGAAAAATCTGCCTCACTTCCCACCTCATTCCCACTCCAACCTTCACAGGGAGGCACTGGGCCCTGAGGGCTGTTCTGTGCTTCCATTCTCAATGTCAGCAACCTGAACATGGGATTAGAATTGTGGAAGCCCCTTGGCTCTGCTTTGAGACAATGAGACCAGCAGCTGGTGCTGAATCCTGGCCTGCAGGCCACTAACAGGTTAAGATGAACCTGACCTAGTTGAAGGAAAAACACAACAGACTTTCCGCTATGGTCCTGACCTAAATCTGTGAGAGAACACACAACATCACAAGGCTGTCCCCGATGGCTCCCTCGACCTGGCAACATTTAGGGTGAGCAGAAAGGGATCCTTAATCAGCAACAGGTCCCTCCAGCTATTGCAGGCCCAACGTCCCAAATGCGTCCCCCTTCCTGCTGGTTCTGTGGATAATTCTTCGACATCCAGTGGTACAGACCTTGGCTCCCACGTCTGGGCATGTCTACATTCATGTTGAAATCACCCTCTGTACAAACTGTATCAACTGAGTGCTTCTGGAGTTTTCAGAGCACTGCTTGGAGCCAGAGAGCAAGCTGACCGGCTACTCTTAAGTGCCTTGTTAATAAGTAACTCCCACTATCTGTGTGTCCATCCATCTGGCTGGCTGTCCGTCCGTCCGTCCGTCCCAGCAGAGGGCCATCTGCACTCACCCTCATACATCTCCAGGATGTGAACAGTGTCACCGATCTGCAAGGACAGCTCCACATCTTGACAAGCACTGTAGTTATAGATCGCTGCAAATGAGAAAAAAATAAAAGGAAGGGGGATTAGAATGCTTGTCACTTAAGTGGCACTTTCGGGGCAGAGGGTAACAGCCCCCTATTAAATGACTTCCTGGGAATCACCCAGGATAAGGCAGAGAATGCAGCCCGGTTCCATGTGCCAACAAATACTGATTGGTTGGTTGTCTACTATGTAAACACCTCCTGTGAGAGAGACTGTCACAAGATCACACACACAGGCAGAGCCTCTGCTCCTCAGCAGTCAAGTGTGAGGAAGAAAGATAATCAGCATATTATCACAGAAATAATCACTTGATTAAAATTTGTATAAGTGTGAAAGGAAAAGCCAGAGTGATAAAAACTCATTGTGAGGTTCTGTCTGTCAGTCCTCTGCTCACCAGACGACAGCCAGTCTGTGATCGTGGGGAGTGGTCTCCTGGCTTCTGTGGCACAGTATTTAGTGGCCAAAAGGCCACACATAAGTGCCATCTACCCTGTAGTAACAGACTGACACAAGGCACAGGGCAGGGACAGCACCTTCCCCTGGACACCCTTGGGAACACGGGACTGCCACCACTTGCTGAGCAAGGCAACCTCAGACACCTCAGTTCTGAAGAATGGCAGTGACCTAGCCAGGTTGTGAAGAACAGTGGACAAACTCAACTAAAAAGACGACAGGCTAATGGGTGAGAGCTCTGCATAGATATTTTACCAAACTTACATAGGAGTGACTAATAAGTACATGAAAAGACATTCCACATTATTACTCATTGGGGAAATGCAAATTAAAACCACAATCAGATACCCCTGGCACACTTCCTACAACAGCTATAACCAAAAACAAAAAACCCCACGGAACAAAACAACTAAAAAGGGCAGCTACTTGGCAAGAATGTAGAGTATCTAGAACTCTCATACATGGAGAGTAGGAATCCTTACGAGAGAGACTGGCAGGCTGAACTGTAAGAGACACCGTGAAGATGGAGGCAGAGACTGCAGCAACCACCAAAAGCTGGAAGAAAGAACAGAAGCTCCTGAGAGCCTCTGGAAGGAGCCCCTTAATTTCAGAATTCTGGACTCCAGAACTGTGAGATAATAAATTCCTGTTGTTTGACGCCAACAAGTTTGTGGTAATACGTTGTTAGAGTCATAGAAAGCCACCCATCACAGTCAACAAGCGAAACGACTCATCAGCTGGTGACTGAAGGCACAAAATAGGATACAGCTGTCCCTAGTGTCTGCAAAGGACTGACTGTGCAACCCCTCAGGGATACTGAAAGCTGGAGGTGCTCAAATCCCTTACATAAAATGATGTAGCGTTTGCACATAAGCTAAGCCATCTCCCTGGATTACTTACGGTAAACAGCTGGTACAATGCAAATGCTGTGTAAATACTTGTCATACTGCAGCATTTAGAAATAATGATAAGAAAAATGTCTATACATACTCAGTACAGATACGATTTCTTTTCCTTGTTTTTTTTTTTTTTTTAAGAGAGGGTATCACTATGTAGCTCAGGCTGGCCTAACTTCACAATCTTTGGCTGGGATTACAGTGTGCATCACTATGTCTGGCCTCCAAATATTTTAGAGTAGGTGGCTGAAGTCATGAATGCAGAAGCCACTGACACAGACAGTCAGTTATAAACCCATGCAATGGGATACTACTTAGCAAAAAAAGAAGCATACTGACCCATGCTCCAACACGGGTGAACCTCAAACACAATATGCCAAATGAAAGAAGCCAGATGCAAAAGACCACGTATTTTATAACTCCATTTATTTCTGAACTGTTCAGAGTAGGTGAATCCATCAGTATTGGATTGGTGAGAGTGGTGGTTAGCAACCTACCCATTAGGTAGGTTTGAGGAGGCGGTGAAAACACCCCTAAGCTGGATAGTAGGTGAAAGTTTCACAGCTCACAAACCTGCTAAAAATCACTGAATTGTATACTCAAATGCAAAGATATTATGGTATGTAAGGTGTGCTTCAACGAAAGAGTATTCTTAAGATTTATCTCTTGTCTTCACTCTACTGATGAGTGATCTATATTCTTCCAAAAAAAAAAAAAACCCAATACACATTGGAGAGCCAATGAAGCAAAGATGTGTTCCAACTCTGCAGGTCCAGCCAGCCCACGAGGATAGTCACTCAAGCCATCTGCGTGTCCCACAGGAGTTATGGAATAATTAGGGAAGAAGGGTATCCCTGTGATTATTAGTGGCAGGCATAACCTGCTCTTCCCTGAGTTGAGGGCATCCTGGCCCTCAGCCTGGCTATGTCACACTCAACCTGTCAGCGGATGGAAAGGAACACAACTCCAGCTACCTCCCTCAAGTGAGTGACCTCTCCTTTATGAAGGAAGTCACCCAACCAGAGTTCTTCTTGGCTCAGAAGTCTGGGCCAATTATGTTGGCCCTTAAACCATTGACTTTGGACTCAATGAAGATTCAGAATAAGGATAGGCTGGAGAATCACACAGAATGCAGAAGAGGAATTAGTTTTGGACTCTGAGACCTGTTCATAAGGCTCAGCTCCTTCATCTGACTGCTGGTTCACTCGGATGGTTTCCCCACCAAGGACTTCCCACAGCAAATGTAGTCACATCCATGACACCTTCTGGTCCCCATTCACGACCCTCCACTGCCATGGCTCCTTTCACGGCCCCCTCTCCGATGGAAACAGGAAGCAGTGAGGTCACTGTCATAATGACTTGTGCAACGACCAGCTTCATCTCTTCCTGGCTCTTAGTCACTAAGAAAGGAAGCAGAGGCTCCCAAGGGCAGCACCTTGCATTGGTAGCTGCAGGCGCAAACACCTCCAAGGGCTGTTGGAAACATGCACACACACACACACACACACACACCCCTACGCACCAAAGACCAAGGGTTTTTCTTAAAACCTTCAT